GCCAACATGGTGAAACCCCGTCTCTACTAAAAATACAAAAAAGTAGCTGGGCATGGTGGCGCATGCCTGTAATCCCAGCTACTCAGGAGGCTCAGGCAGGAGAATTGCCTGAACCCAAGAGGCGGAGATTGCTATGAGCCGAGATCGCGCCATTGCACTCCAGCCTGGGTAACAAGAGTGAAACTCTGTCTCAAAACAAACAAACAAACACAAAAAAAACTATTATTCTTAATGTGGGTCCCTGTGGAAACCATAGTTTGAATAGTTTAAACTGTTTTTTCAAAAGTAAATGTATCATTTTTCATCATTGGTAACAAAGTTGGATTTTTAAAAATTAAGCTTGAAATAAGATGCATATAAACATGCTTTGTAAACCGAAACATGATACGAATGTCGAGTATTCTTACTATTACTATTATTATTATTACTTATATTCCTCACAGGACTCAGCTCAGGCTAGGCATGGTTAATAAACAGTTGCTGTGGTTAGATAGGGCCATCACCTCGCATTCTGCAAGGCCAAAACAGACTCCCCACAGATATTCCTGCCAATGTGTTCTGCTTCTAATTATTTCCTTAAGTGGTTTTAGCTGGACCATTACTTCATCCCTTGTTCTATTCTGTAATGTCCTCCAACTTTCTGTTCCAGAGGGATCCTGTTCTGTACACGTCTGGCTCATCAGTAAACGAGATATCTGTGCATGTATGTGGCCTGTGTTGCACTTGCTGGCATATGGGTTAGGGACTATTCTTGGACCATTTCAAAGCTTGCTTGAGTCCTCAAAGGCGAGTATTGGTTCTCATATTCCTTCTGTAGCTGCTTCCTAAGCACAGCGCCAGGCATGCCATTGGAATAAGTGTTTATTTCTTGCTGAATAACTGTCCCAGAAAACCCAGTCCACCCTGCCTCCACTCACATGGATGCTTTCGTTTTTCTACCTAGAGACAATGGGTGTTTTTTCACTGGGTTTTGTAACAAAGAAGCAAAATACTCTTTGAGAAAAGTGCAATAAAAAAAACTGTGAACACAAAGACATATATCAGTACGTCCTTTTGGAGATTAATTTTTTTTTTCCCCTAGAAACTGTAAGTCCTTGGCTTAAATTTGGTTGGTGTTTTCTAAACTGTACTAGAGTCAGTTGTCCTTATCCCAGAGTACTGGGGTCAGGGGTAACATGAATAAATTACATCTCTGAACAATAGCGGAAGGACTCATTTTAACCTCAAATTCCTGCCTTTTTTCTAATGTTTTAGAAGAGCCATTACAAAGAATAACACTAGGCCAGGTGTGGTGGCTTACACTTGTAATCCAGCACTTTGGTAAGCTGGGTGGATTGGGTGGATCACCTGAGGTTGGGAGTTCAAGACCAGCCTCGCCAACATCGTGAAACCCAATCTCTACTAAAAATATAAAAATTAGCTGGGTGTGGTAGCACACATCTGTAATCCCAGCTACTCGGGAAGCTGAGGCAGGAGAATCTCTTGAACCTGGATGGCAGGGGTTGCAGCGAACTAAGATCGTGCCACTGCACCCCAGTCTGTGCAACAGAGCGATAGTCTGTCGTGAAAAAAAAAAAAAAAAGAATAACACTAAATCAATAGAGGTTTAGTCTACTCTCTTCCTCTCTCCCCATTACTATCTGATGGAAATCCTAGTGAAGAAGGAAATCCACCCACATCACTAGTCTCTACTCACATCCTAAATAGGCAATAGTGGACTACTAAGAATCATCTCCTTTGTATTCATTTTTACATGATGTTTTCAGCACCCATTCCTACAGCCCTGTGCACAGCGATAGAAGGTTTTGTTTAAAGCACTGAGCATGTGACCCTAGCAAGTCAAAGGACACAGCCTGTGGCTCACTGGGTTCTAGGGAAATATGATTGAGGCAAGCTGGGTTCTGTTGAGGTGAGCTGTAGTGCTCCACGCTGCCCAATTCCTGGTTCTCTGTCTCAGGTCACAGGCCACTTTTTTCCTGGTTAGCTTTTTTTTTTTTTTTTTTCTTTTTTTGAGATGGACTCTTGCTCTGTCACCAGATTGGAGTGCAGTTGTGCAATCTCGGCTCACTGCAACCTCCACCTCCCGGGTAAAAGTGATTCTCCTGCCTCAGCCTCCTAGGTAGCTGGAACTATAGGCGTGCACCACCATGCCTGGCTAATTTTTGTATTTTTAGTACACACAGGGTTTCACCATGTTGGCCAGATTGTCTCAATCTCTTGACGTCGTGATCTACCCACCTCGGCCTCCCAAAGTGCTGGAATTACAGGTGTGCGCCTCTGATTAGCTATTTTTAAAAAGTTTACCATTCACCCTCCACCTCACATCTGTTAGGTTAAAAAAAAATCCAGAAATAAAAAGTCTAGGCAAGGATGTAGAAAAACTGGAACTCTTGCACACGATTGGTAGAAATTTAAAATGGTGCAGCTGCTGCAGAAAACAGTATGGAGGTTCCACAAAAAATTAAAAATAGAATTAGCATATGATCCAGCAATTCTGCTTCTGGCTATATACCCAAAAGAACTGAAAGAAGGAACTCAAAGAGACATTTTTACACACACACACACACACACACACACACACACATATGTATCAGCATTATTCACAACAGCCAAAAGGTAGAAGCAACTCAAGTGTTTATAGACGAATAAATACATAAAATGTGGCATACACCTATAGTGGAGTATTTACTCAGCCTTAAAAAAGGAAGAAAATACTGACACTTGCTACATTGAGGACATTATGCTAAGTTACATAAGCCAGTTGCAGAAGGAAAAATACTGTATGATTCCACTTATATACGGTCCCTAGAGTAGTCAAATCCATAGAGACAGAAAATGGAATGGTTATTGCCATGGAGTGAGGAGAACGGGAATGGAAAAGTTTGTTTAATGAGCATAGAGTTTTGGTTTTGCAAGATGAAAAGAACTCTGGATATGGATGATGGTGATGGCACCACAATGTGAATGTACTTAGTGCCTGAAGACAGCACAGTTAAAAATAGTCATAATGGTAAATTTTATGTTATGTACATTTTGCCACAATTTCAAAAAAGAACTATTAATATATTTTTTAAAAGAGTTTATCACCCATCCAGAATGACCTAGGGTTGAATAGAAGTATGAGTCCCCAAACATGGCACACATATACAGTTCTGCCTACTCTTGCTCAGGACAAATATTATCAATTGATCATTCCAACTTTCTTTCTTCCTGAGTCCAAATGCAATATCATAAACTTTCTCAACCTGGGCCACTACTAAACAATTGGAGCTGACACATCAGCTATGACAATGTAGGAAAGGATTGTGATGGTCTATGGAATTCATGCTAGAGAAAAGAAGGGTGCAAAAATATATAAATGTACAAGATAAGAAAAATCAACACAAACTTGATACATTAAGGAAATTTAAATCTTATAACCCAGTTGAGTCTTTTTCTTTGGGGGAATGGTAAAGTTTCTAAAATCCTAGGAAGATGGCCAGGCACTATGGCTCATGCCTGTAATCCCAGCACTTTGGGAGGCTGAGGCAGGCGGATCACTTGAGGTCAGGAGTTCAAGACCAGCCTGGCCAACTTGATGAAATCCCATCACTAATAAAAATACAAAAAAGTAGACGATGTGGTGGTGCATATAGTACCAACTACTGAGGAGGCTGAGGCAGGAGAATCACTTGAACCCAGGAGGTGGAGGTTACAGTGAGCTGAGATTGCATTACTGCACTCCAGCCTGGGCAACAGAACAAGACTCCATTGCAAAAAATAAAATAAAATCCAAAGAAGATGCAAATTGTATTTCATAGATGTATTGATTGCATAGATATACTTATGCTATTTGAGGAAAATCGATATATTGAATTTGTCATTTTTGTCAAGTCCTTAAAAGTGTTAAAAGTTAAAATCACTGGTTAAATTATTTAAAAATTTTTCTTCATTAAATTCATTTTTTTTTTTTTGAGACAAGGTCTTGCTGTGTCACCCATGCTGGAGTATAGTGGTGCAGCCTCCATGTCTTGAACTCAAGAGATCCTCCCACCTCAGCCTCCTGAGCAGCTAAAACTACAGGCATATGCCACCATGCCTGGCTAATATTTGCATTTTTTGTAGAAACAAAGTTTTGCCATGTTACCCAGGCTGGTCTCAAACCCTTAGCTCAAGCAATCCAAACTGCTGGGATTACAGGCATGAGCCACCGCGCCTGGTCAAATTCATAAATTTTGATGATCTTGTTGAATTAAGTGGTATGTGATTACTTTGAGGAATATTTAACAAGTTTAAGGAAATATTGCTCAATAAATTCACAAGATTATAATGGAATATTATGCAGTAATAAAAAAGGATGAGTTCATGTCCTCCGCAGGGACATGGATAAAGCTAGAAACCATCATTCTCAGCAAACTGTTACAAGAACAGAAAACCAAACACCACATGTTCTCACTCATAAGTGGGTGTTGAACAATGACAACACATGGACACAGGGAGAGGAGCATCTCATACTGGGGCATTTCGGTGGGTGGGGGGCTAGGGGAAGGATAACAGGGGGTGGGAGGATGGGGAGGGATAGCATTAGGAGAAATGCCTAATGTAGATGGCAGAGTGATGGATGCAGCAAACCACCATGGCACATGTATACCTATGTAACAAACCTACACATTCTGCACATATATCCCAGAACTTAAAGTATAATAAAAATAAATAAATAAGATGATAAATTATACATTAAACAATGCACTAATGGTCATATGTATTTCTGTCCAAACACAAAAGTGCGTTGAACACTAAAGACCATCAAAAGATAAAATCAGTTTGCCATCCCAGGAGACTCAAAACCATTAAAAGAGATTGCTATTCAAATAAAGATATCACATGCCAAGCCTGTTCTATACAGATTATGTTAATTTCTCAGATGCGATGGAGCTTGCTCTTTGGATCACTGCACCTTGTGTGGTGAAAGCTTTTGCTTTCCCAGTTTTATTACTAACCTAGAGCTGTCAGTTCCATACCTTTGGGTTCATCTGTCTTTCCTCCTGGGTTAGAGTTGTCATCTTTTGTGGAATCCTTCAAGGTTCCATATTCCTTTTCCATCTTAGCTGCTTCTTCCTTGGTACTGTCTGTTTCTTCATGACTCTTCTCTGATGGTGCTGTAATCAGATTGAGCATTGTTGTCATAGCCCTGTTTCCTAGCTATAAATTGGTTCCTAAAGTGGAAATCAACTTTATCGACAAGGTACAGTTTGAGATCAAATCATACTTTGAGTTGAAAGGGATCTTAGTGCTTATCTAATCCAACCCTCTAACCCTATATTACAGATGAGGAAATTGAGGCCCAGAAGGGGGAAAGATATATCTAAAGTCATCCACTAAATTCTCAGAAGAGCTGGGCCAACCCCCGACCCCACCCCAGCTTTCTGCGTTCTGATTTGGCATCCTTTTTCTTCTGCCACACTGTGTCATTAGAGGGCATATTCTTTGTCTTACTTTAATCAGTATAGGTGATCAAGCCAGCATATGTCAGGTTCTGAAGTATATTTGGTAGGTCTTGATTCCAAATGATAATAGCTCTATAGCTGCCCAATCTCTCCTTGACATTGCATTTTTGAAGGATAGTCTATTACTCAGAGTCACACCTAAGTATCTGGGGCTATGGCAGGACCTCCTCCTTCTGCTCCTTTCTTCACACTCCTTTACCCCTAGTAACCCTAAATTCGAAGAGGAGACTTGAACTCTTGCTGTCAAAAGGGAAAACTCTTACTCTCTTCTTACCTTAAAATCACAATATTTCCATGTAGTAATCCTTTGTTGAATTAAAAATAATAAACCTTAAAATAGATAACCACTGAAATTGTAATGCATTTCTGCAGGCAATAAAATATTTTTAACCTCAAGCAGTCTAACAGTAAACTTTTAAAATAACAGTGTTTTTCCTGGAATCCCTGCACTTTGGGAGGCCGAGGCGGGTGGATCACGAGGTCAGGAGATCGAGACCATCCTGGCCACCATGGTGAAACCCCGTCTCTACTAAAAAATACAAAAATTAGCTGGGCATGGTGGTGCATGCTTGTAGTCCCAGCTACTTGGGAGGCTGAAGACAGGAGAATTGCTTGAACCTGGGAGGCGGAGGTTGCAGTGAGCCGAGATTGTGCCACTGCACTCCAGCCTGGCACCTGGCAACAGAATGAGACACTATCTCAAAAATAAAAAAATAAAGAAAAAGTGTTTTGTTATTATAGAAAAAATGAAAAGAAAAAAAAAGAAATCAGCTATTTTCTGATATAAAACATCCACTAATGTGCTGTGGTATATATAGAGATGCATATTTTTTTTCACAGTTGTGGTACAATTTTGTTCTTCGCTGTGTCATTAACATTATTATGGAAGGATATTTCCAGGTTATTATAAACTGCTTGGAAACATATTTTAAAGAGCTATATACTATGCCATCAAGAATATGTACATAATTTCTGTGATAGGAATAAAGAGTCAAAGTATAACAATTTGCAATTTTTGGTTGTCATTAATAGTTAAAAACATTTAAAAAAGAATCTGCCAATTGCACTTTTTCTCTTTTTGTTCCCCTCTCCTGCTTGAAAGGAGGCTTCTTTTTATAGCTCAGTTCCCTGGGGTTTGATGGGCTGAGCAGGATGCTGGGTGGAGGTATGGAACTGACAAAACCAAGAGCCGGGGTAAAGCACACTACCTAGTGGCACAGACCATCCCAGGGGAGAGAGAAGACCTGGAAGGGGACAGCAGGAGGTGGGGCAGTGGGGAGTGAACAGATGAGCAGACACAGTAGTCTGGAGAAGTAGTTACCCAGAGAGAGAAGATACCTAAAGGAGAATTTTAGGATGTATTGCTCAGTTTTGTGATGTAGGCTTTTCCTTTCCACCTAAGATTCCTAGCCAGCTCCAAGAATCTTCAGTAAAGACCTATATTATTTTTCAATGTTTTTTGAGGTCAGATTTATGTGCTATGCTTGGTCACAAAATAGCCAAGGTCACATCTAGTTAATCCTATGGCTGCATTTCAGATTTTAACCTTTTCAAAACCTGTAATTTTTAATTAATGATTGTTAAAGTTCATTATTTACCACTCAAAAGGGTTATTATTTTAAAAGCTAAAAAAAATAGTTGAATAATCATACCTGGGAAAAGCTTGCTTATATTGTCAGTAGCATTTTTTTCTAGCTTGTTTTTGGTCTGAAGAGCAATCATTTCATCCAAGTTTTCTGGAGGGAGGGAGGAAGGAAAGAAACATAATTTTATTCTCTGAGAGGTGATATCAAAGTTTTTCTAAAAATGTTTGAATCTCACCAGAAATATCACAATAGCAACTCCAAAATATTAACACTGCTGGTAAGATATTTTGACCTGGATTTTATTTCTAGGAATCACAGATTCTCAGGATGGAAAGACATATAATTTGAGATCCTCAAGTTCAGCCTCCCACTCAGCTAACTGCTGAAGTCCCTTCTATGTCTCTGTGCCCACTGCTAGAATTTCCAAGATTGGGAATTAGAGTGGACACTTGGGGTTTGACCTACTCAACACCTTGTGGTAACTACACTTTAATTTTTCTCTGGATAACCTAACCCTGTCTCACTCTCAGAACATTTGACTCCATTGGCGGTGGAGTAACCCAAGAATGACTAAATAGTATCTTCCATGACCTAGGCTATAATTCAAGGAGGAGCCCAAGACCCTATCCAGGTCAGTGGGACTCAGTGGCGGGACCACTGGCAGAAAGAGGCTCTCTTTCCACTGGGATTGATGGGCTGTGAGAGTGTGAGATTGGGACTGTCCCAGCCATCTTGTTCCCACAGGGAGCAGTCTGGAATAAATCAAGACACAAAAAGTTAGAGCCGTGAGATGGGATGAGGTATGAGGTCAATTCTTCACATTATTGGTGGAATTCACAAACCCAAAACCAGACTACCCCATTCCTCCATGGACTATTCCAGCTATACACAGCAATAAATTTCTTTTGTGCTTAAGCCAAACAGTTTGATTTCTGTCTTTCAGGGCTCTCACTAATTCATGAGGAGGCCAGTTCTACCATTAGGTAGTCTTAGACATCATGTCCCTCCTTATGTTAAGAAGCATTTCCTTACTTATATTAAGCTGCACTGTGTATCCTTGTCTTTGTCCTAATTCTGCTCTTTGGAGTAGCATTGTATTAAGTGTTACTAGACAGCCTAGATGGGGACTTCCTCAAGGTAGATGATGAATTAGAAACCATGCTCTTTGTACTCAGTTATTCAACCAGCCACATAGCTATCTCACTACACTATTTTAGGATGAGCCTTTTCTGCCATTTGCAAACAAGCATGTCTCTGCAATTAGTGTGTAAATATTTTATTATTACTTTGTATAGTTTCACCCCAAGTAAATTCCTCTTACCCTACCCTGATTTTAAGAAGATAATCAATATATTCTATTGTGTAATGCATTGCTTTCTTCTTGGAAATAGTGGCTATACCTGGCAACATCTGTAATCATGACACATTGTTGAGGCCAGAATAGAAAGACCACTGCTTGTCACTGCTCAGATGGGAGGAGAACCGGCTGGTCAATCGTCTTCTACCCATGCTGCCCTGAGCCTCTGGAGATCTAAGGGTGGCTCTCCATGGCAGCAGAAGTCAAAAGCCAATGTGATTATACAGAAAAATTCTTAAAGACATAAACTCGAATTGTAAAAGTTACACATACACATACATATTTACATATATGTATATAAACATGTACATATACGTTAATATGTATGTCTTTATAAACAATATTTACATTGTATGTGTAATATATAGATATAATTATTTAAAAACACAAACATTTAGGATAAAATTTAAATAGTCTATTATAATAAAAATAAATAATTTAGATCGTCTCCTCTTGTAGAATATCTAGCCTATTTTCACTGCTTTGCTCCTACAAATCAATGTTGTCCAATTAAACTTTCTGCAATGACTAATGTATTCATTTCTGCACTGTTCAATATGGTAGCTACTAGCTACGTGTGGCAACTGAGCACTTGAAATGTGCCTAGTGCAACTGAGAAACTAGAGATTAAATTCTGTTTAAGTTACTTTTAAATAGGAACTTGTGGTTACTGGTTACCATATTGAACAGCATGGCTATAAATGATAGTGGGAATATCTGCCTAGCACATAAGCCTTTGAGGCATTTCTGATTTATTTCCATAGGATAATTGACTAAGTGTGGAATTTCTGAGTCACAGGGTGTTGATATGAAACAGTTATTGATAGAAAAATAATGTCTTTAATCTACTGTTAAAAAATACAGTAGGTCCCAAAGCACTGTGTATAATATGAGCTTATTTTTGTTATATAAAAGAAAGAAATGACATAGGTATACACACACATACACACATGCACGCGCGCACACACACACACACACACACACAACATCTGGAAGAATACAAATCGAAATGTTACCAGAGTGTTGATGTTGTGAGTGATTTTCACTTTTAGCATTTTTTGCATTCAATGACTTTTTTTTTTTTTTTTTTTTTTTTTTTTTTGAGACGGAGTTTCGCTCTTGTTACCCAGGCTGGAGTGCAATGGCGCGATCTCGGCTCACCGCAACCTCCGCCTCCTGGGTTCGGGCAATTCTCCTGCCTCAGCTTCCTGAGCAGCTGGGATTACAGGCACACGCCACCATGCCCAGCTAATTTTTTGTAGAGACAGGATTTCACCATGTTGACCAGGATGGTCTCGATCTCTTGACCTCATGATCCACCCGCCTCGGCCTCCCAAAGTGCTGGGATTACAGGCTTGAGCCACCGCGCCCGGCCCTTGCATTGAATGACTTTTAAAAATAAACATGATCTTTTACAATCAGGGAAAAAAATAGTAAAACTACTTTCATTTAGGAAAAAATGAGGTTCATACAGAGTAATTCTGGATAACCCTATCTGGTATAGTTTTGATATTTGTTCCCCTAACACTATGTTGAAATGCAGATCCCAGTGTTGGCAGTGGGGTCTGGTGGGAAGTGACTGGATCAGGGGGATGATTTCTCATGAATGGTTTAGCACCATCTCCTTGGTGCTGCTCTCGATAGTGAGCGAATTCTCACGAGATCTTGTTGTTTAAAAGCGTGTGGCACCTCCCCCACCCTTGCTCTTGCTTTCACGCTGTGAAGTGTCTGCTCCTGCTTCACCTTCGACCATGAGTAGCTGCTTCACTGGGCAGATGCTGGTGCCATGCTTTCTGTACAGCCTGCAGAACCGTAAGCCAATTAAACCTCTTTTCTTATTTATTTATTTATTGTTTGTTTACTTTTTTGAGACAGGGTCTCGCTCTGTGGCCCAGGCTGGAGTGCAGTGGCGCTATCTCCACTCACCGCAACCTCAGCCAAAGCAATTCTCATGCCTCAGCCTCCTGAGTACCTAGAACTACGGGGGCGCAGCACGACACCCGGTTAAACTTTGTATTTTTTGTAGAGTCGGCATTTCACCGTGTTCACCAGGCTGGTCTTCAAGTCCTGGCCTTAGGTGATCTGCCTGCCTCAGCCTCCCAAAGTGCTGGGATCACAGGTGTGAGCCATCGCACCAGGCCCCTCTTTTCTCTATAAATTACCCAGCCTCTGGCCAACATGGCAAAATCCTGTCTCTACTAGAAAAAGCAAATTAGTTAGGCATTGTAGTGCACACCTGTAATCCCAGCTACTTGGGAAGCTGAGGCAGGAGAATCTGTGAGCTGAGATGTTGCCACTGTACTCCAGCCTGGGTGACAGAGCCAGACTCTGTCTCAAAAAAAAGGAGAAAAAAGAAAATAGCACTGTTTTGGTGACTACCCATCCCATTCTTCCCTATATTAAGTCAAGCAACGATAGACTTAAATATCCACATGGAAGATCTGAGACCAGAATGAGCAGGATAAAAGTGCTTCGAAGGCAGCCACAGCTGCTGAGAATCTGTCCCGTCCCGGCTGTGTTTCTGCTGGCGGCCTGGGGATCTGCTGCACCCTCCACCCATGGCTACAAATGGAGCAGATTCAATATGGAACAGATCGCCCCCTCCAGAGGGAGGCTCCCAGCTCTAGCAGAGTCCTTTGAGAGATAGAGTGCAGGTAGAAAAGCAGTGACAGATTCTACTCTAGGGAATTCTTTGCTGCCTTGCTGAGGTCTGAGTAATTTATCCTAATGGGAATGTGCCCTGTTGTTTTAGGACTGTTTTACTTCGTGCTAGTTAAGTCAGAACAATGGTCTTTGGAAGAGGTGGGGCTCATTGTGTAATTAGGCAGCCTTTCCTTAACTGCTGGTTCAAAATGTATTGAAACATTTTCTTAGTGTTATGAGTTTAAACATTATTTTTAAATCAAATAGTAAAACAAGTCATCAGAAACTGGTGTGATCTTGGAGAAACCCCATCTCTAAAAAAAATAACAAATAAATAATATAAAACAAAAATAAATAAAATAAAATTACCTAGCCTCAGGTATTTCTTTATAGCAACTCATGAATGGCCTAACACTGTGTCTTATAAGATTTCCTCATAAGGGGTCATGAGGTCACCTTGTACGAAGTTTATCAGGGATCAATAGTATTTGTTGATTAAGTAAACCAAACAGGAAAACAAAGCCTTTCTTTTTTTTTTTTTTTTTTAAAGGGGAAGCCCTGGGCCTGGGCCTCCCCACGGGTAGCCCTGCTGTGGCTTGTGGACCCCAAGGGGCCTGGTGAGCTGACGGCTGCTGGACAGGGACGTGCACCCGCCACCAGACGGAGGAAAAACTAAAGCCTTTCTTAAAAACAAACAAAAATTGAACATTTGCAATGTACCTAGTACAACTGAGAAACTAGATTTTATGTTCTATTTAATTAATTTAAAAAAAAAAACCTATATGCAAAATGAGAGAATGTCCAAGTTTGTCTATAAAGTTCAAGGAGTAGGGAGGAGTTGGCAAACTTTTTCTGTAAAGGGCCAGATAGTCGTAAATATGTTGGGCTCTGTAGGCCGTATATGCAGCCTCTTGGAATTACTCACCTCTGCTGTTGTACCATGAAAGCAGCCGTAGACAACACTAAGCCAAATGAGCATGGCTGTGTTCCAATAACACTTCATTTATGACACCAAAATTTGAATTTGAATCGTTTTCACATGCTATGTAATGCTTTCTTCTTTTGACTCCCCCCTACCACCATTTAAATATGTAAAAGCCATTCTTCTTAGTTCATGTACTATACAAAAATAGGTGATGGGCCAGATTTGGTCTATGGGTAGTAGTTTACCACCCCTGTTAACAGACAACAAAGTTCTTCATTTTGTAAAACTGAGATTTAGCAAGAGGCAGTGCCTTCCCCAGGATAACAGCACTCATCACGGCAGAGCTGGGACCAGGACTCAGGACGTCTGATGCCCAGCTCTTTTCTCCTTGCCACACACAGATCTCAGAGAGGAAAATCAAGACTCTTACTCCCAACCTTTCAGACACAATGGAAAAAAACCAATGAGTCAAAATAATTTTTTTTTTGAGACAGGGTCTCACTCTGTTGCCCAGGCTGGAGTGCAGTGGTGCGATCTCGGCTGACTGTAACCTCTGCCTCCTGGGTTCAAGCGATCATCCCACCTTAGCCTCATGAGTAGCTGGAACTACAAGCACACACCACCAGCCCTGGCTAATTTTTTCCATTTTTAGTGGAGACGGGGTTTCACTATGTTGGCCAGGCTGGCCTCAAACTCCTGGCCTCAAGTGACCCTCCGCATTGACCTCTCAAAGTGCTGTGATTACAGGTGTGAGCCACTGCATGTGGCCTAGAGTCAAATTTTTTGTTTTGTTTTGTTTTGTTTTGTTTTTTGAGACGGAGTTTCGCTCTTGTTACCCAGGCTGGAGTGCAATGGCACGATCTCGGCTCACCGCAACCTCTGCCTCCTGGGTCCAGGCAATTCTCCTGCCTCAGCCTCCTGAGTAGCTCGGATTACAGGCATGTGCCACCATGCCCACCTACTTTTTTGTATTTTTAGTAAGGACGGGGTTTCACCATGTTGACCAGGATGGTCTCGATCTCTTGACCCTGTGATCCAGCCGCCTCGGCCTCCCAAAGTGCTGGGATTACAGGCTTGAGCCACCGCGCCCGGCCTAGAGTCAAATTTTTATAAAATTATTTCCATGAAGATTATTAGAAAATGCTAATGAGACAACAATTAATAAATGTGAAATATTTGTACTCAAGCTGGTTCTATAAAGATAAAAAGTTGAAAACTGGTTAATTTTATTCATGTATACTATCAAACTGGTCAATTCTTGCTACCGAGATGACGTGGGAAGATTTGGCATAAATTATCAAATGAATGAGGTAATTTTTGCCAGTCCCTAATTTTTTGAACAACGAAAACTACCACAGTGGAAACAAAACACATAGGATTCTCACCAAGGTAGGAAACACCTTCTTCTGGAGATATTGTTCCATATTTCACCATCATCTTCACAAAGTCAATCAATGTTTTCATGATAGTAATTAGTGTTTCTTTCTCTTTTGCTTCTTTTTCTATATAAAAGAACAAAATAACTTAAAACTAGTGATGGATAGCTTCCTCTTTCAATGTTAATTTGTAAAGTACAGCATGTTTTTGTTTGTTTTTTCAAAGATGGGGTCTCACTGTGGCCCAGGCTGGAATGCAGTGACTATTCACAGATCTGATCATGGCCTGCTACAGTCTCAGACTAAACTCCTGGACTCAAGAGATCCTTCCATGAAGTTGGAACTATAGGTAAGCACTACCACACCCGGCACTAATTACAGTATTTTATTGAAATATTTCTCTCTACATTTATAGCTAAAACCATATATATTTAACTTAAAAAAATCTAAGCTTGATTGGAAATACAGGGTAAGATACAGCCATACTGAACTTTTTCAGAAATGGGCAATTATAACTTCTCTAGAAGAGTTTAATTTCATTTAAAATATTTTGCTAATAGAGTAGATGATAAAGACACAGTTTTCAACCAAGATAACATGAACTCAAAAGGAAGGGTAGAAGACTGGCAACTCAACAGCTTTTCTCTACTCAGGTGGTAAGTCTTTGAGGACAAGAACAATCTTTATTCATTAACTTTCTTAATTGAAAACAAGAACATATATAGCTCTAGTTTATGAATGCAAAATTGATTTTTGAATGAGTATATATTACTTTTTAATCTTTATTTCATTTGAAAGAATACATATATAGTAAAAATATTCCTACTGCTCAAAAGTAAACAAAAATGAAAAGTAACATTCTCTTCCCCATCCCCTCTAACTCCCTTTAAGTAACGATTACTAGCAGTTTCTTGGGAACCCTTTGTATTTGACATTCTTTTCTGCCTCTTGATGGAACAAAATGGCTAATGATGCCATAATAGCTCAGTAAATATATTAATTCTAAAATCAGAAAAAAAATCTATCCCCATTTTTGAAGAAAAGACAAACTAAGATGCTAGAGGGGGAACTCATTTTCCCTGTTCTCTGAGCTTCCACTGAAGGATTTTCTCTAAATACTCCTAGACTCGCTCCCTTCCTCTGCATCCTCCCCACAGATATGGTTGGTAAGCCACAGCCATTAGCCTACGTTTCTCAACTGCGGGGGATTTGGAATCTTTCTTTTTGTCCACTTGCCTGGAACAGTAGAAGGCAAGAACCTGAGAAACACAAGCCTGTTCTGCAGACTCAACCCATCCCTGAAACTGGCTGTTCCAGGATCTAGATGGAGGAGCAGGGAGCAAACAAGCCCACTGTTGGCTCTCACATGAAGCTGCATTCTGCAGCCCGTGTTTATCAGCAACAGAGATGATATTTTGGTTTCCTACCCGCTTTATTAATTCTTGATTGGTTGAGACCCTGGACAAGAAAGACAGATGCTAGCAAAGAACTCAGTATGAAAATTTAAATTAAAATTATGAAAAAATAAAGGCAATAAGAAATGAGGTGAAGGAAATGGAAAGATAAAAACAATGAACACTTTATACCATAGAATTATTTTAAATGCCATAAAAGTCATGGGTTGGGAGGGAGGAAAAATGGAAAAAGAGGCAGGGGAATAGATATTGGAAAGAACTGATAAATAGTAACTCTAGCTGTCACATTATTTGCTCAAGGTCACATCCGTAGACGTATTTGGCATCACACTGGTGCTCTTCACTGATGAGAAGTGACTCACCAGGGTGACAGAGGTTCTGAGCTGGGCATCTGCCAACTAATGGGGCAAAATGGCTCAGAATGGACCCTCAAGACATATAGGCCCTGCAGAGCCAGCAGGGTGGCCGGTGCCATCTGGCCAATGTCTGGAATTGAAACACAAGGGATGTTCTCAAGAAATGAAAGCTTATTTTAAGGTCACTTCTTGGGAGAAATAGATTACAGTTAAAGAAGTCTTGATATAAATGTTCAATCTGGGGCTGAATCCTTGAACAGGGAAAGGAAAAGCCACAAAGGCAGTCCAGAGCATTTGTTTGAACAGTAACAACAGAAACATTGCACATTATTGGCCCTCCTTGGAGATTAACCAAAATAAACATGGACTGAATCCTCAGTTAACTCAGTGCACATATGCGCAAAGAGATCAGGACACATGAATGATTTTCCTTAAAAAACAAAAAAACAAATAATTTCCCAAGTGTGTTTTAGGCTCCTGAATTCCTTCAGTTGAATGTTCTTCATTTTAACTCTGAAGTTAACATGTTCATAAAGGCTGACGCTGAACTGTTCATAAAGATGTCCTAATTTTAAAAGGAGGAATTAGGTTTCCTACAGTGTTTCCATTAAGGAAAGTGAGTAATGCCTTTTAAAGGAAGATTTGTCGCAAATGGCGGGATTTCCTGCCTACATTTGGGTGTGTGACAACATGTATACTAATCAAAGAAGTCAGGTAAAGAAAGACAAATACTGTATTGTCTCACTTATATGTAGAATCTCAAATAGTCAAACTCACAGAAGAACACGTAGAATGGTAGTTGCCAAGGGCTAAGGGGAGGGACAAATGGGAGCTGTTGGTCAGAGGGTACCAAGTTTCAGTTATGCAAGATGAATACATTCTGGAGCTTGTACACCATGGTGATTATAGTTAACAGCGCTGTTCTGTACACTTGAAATTAGCTAAGAGGTTATCACGCACACAAGAACAAGAAAAGGAAAAAAAGAAGAAAAAGAAAATGTTAACTGTGAGGTGATAAATACATTAATTAGATCCATTGTGATAATCATTTCACAATGGATAAATATACCAAGACATCACATTGTACACCTTAAATATATACAATGTTTTCTTGCCAATTATACCCCAGTCAAGCTGAGAAAAAAAAAGTTGCAATGAGAGCTGAGGTTGAACTGGGTCAGAGCAGGGACACTGCCTGATTCATCTCCATCTTTGTTCTAGGTCTTTTCCAGTACCTTGTTCATAGCACATATGCAGTATTTGTTTGCTGAACAAATAAGTGAACTTTCTGTTAACAAGGTTAATTTATCCAGAAGCTTCGCCTTTCCTGATCATCCTTTCCTAAATATTTTCACAACTGGCTTACTCCTTTGGAAAAAAAATCAATGTGAACCGTTTTCCCGAAGCCCACAGTGTATGTCATTGAAGATTATTACATTTGGAAACTAAAAACAGGAAGAAAATAACCCACCCACACATTTCCTAGAATCGCTCTTCCTGTCCCACATAATCACAACCACACAGTGGTTACCTGAATCAATACTTTTCAGTAGTGCATAGAAATTTGGGAAATACTGGAGTTCCTCAAAGTTGTCTTCACTGTAGGTTTTAGTTCTCCTTTCCAAGCCATTTGTCAAGGTTAAGGTGTTAGAAACTGTTTCATCATTTTCTCCCTTAGTAAGACCATCTTGAATTGCTGCCATTGGAGTCTCCAGTGGTGGAAAATCAATAAAAAAAAAAAATATTTTTTTAGAACTAGTGAAACTCCAGCTCGATTCCTTCCTTTGTGATGTCCTTGAATGTGAAGTCCAAGAATTCCCCTTCCTTTCCAGGCTCCTGCAGGTTCCAACCCATTTCTAGACATGTGTGCTGTAGTCATATGAAAAGGTCGTTGAAGCTTAGGGAAAGGTGGTTTTATGAAAAGGTCATTGAAGTTTAGGGAAAGGTGCTCTTATGAAAAGGTCATTGAAGTTTAGGGAAAGGTGCTCTTATGAAAAGGTCATAGACACTTAGGGAAAGGTGCGCTACCTCGAGGAAAAGCCCCTGAAGACCCCGGCTCCTGCTCAGGGGAAAAAAATGGGAATTTCTGGGCTCCTTCTCTGGCCATGTTTACCTCCATAAACGCTCATGACTCTCTCCTCAAAAAACTGCCTTTTAATGAAGAAGGAAGCTTTGAGTTCACAAAATCTACCAAGAGGGCTGGTGCCAGATATAGGAAAGCCTGTCAGAATGTCTATCCATAACAGAGCGGTCACACTTGGGAATTTCTGGGTAAAAATGTAAGTGTTGTCTGGATGAGTAAACAAAATCCTTTCTCCTAGACCTGATCTTTGCTCAGTGGCTCCCATCTCAGTAAATGATTCATTCTCCATTCAGTGAACTAGATAGAAATTTAAGAGCCTTTCTTGCCTCTTCTTCCTCTCCCCACTCCAATCCATCAGTAGCCTTATTGGCTCAGCTTTCAAAATTTATCCCAGATTTGCACATTTCTCTCTCCACTATACCACTCTGGTTCAAGCAGCCTTCATCTCTCACCTTCTAACCGCAACACCACCCTCCCCAAATCTGTTCCCGACACTGCATTTTCACATTGTAGCCAGAGTTATCTTTTTAACAATCTGACCATGTAACTCCTTTGCTTAAAATTCATCAGTATTTTCTCACCGTTCTTACAATAAAGATCAAAGTCCATCCATGGCTCATAAGGCTCTGCATGATCTGGCCTGGATCCACCTCCCCAGTCTCTTCTCTCTTTACTCTTTCTTTCTGTGCCAGCAACACTGTGCTTATTTCAGTTGCTTGGATACTCCACACATCCTCTATGTGCTGCCTCTCATGTTCACAAGTTAACTCCTATTTGACCTTCAGTTCTTAGCTCAAGTTACTTCCTTAGGGAAGCAATTCCTGAGCCTAAGTCCAGGTCAGGTTCCTTTTTTGAGATCAAAGAGAACCATGTTTCTTTCCTCAGAGCTCTTAATGCAATTATAATGAAAACACATGATGATTTAAACTTAATCTGCCTCTTCCACTAGACTTTGAGTTTCATGAGTCAGGGTTTACATCTTTTTAAATGGGCATGGTATTTCTAGTGCTTGATACAGAGTTGGTATTTAATAAATACTTGAATATTTCACTTGTGTTTCATTTGCCTTGATGCATTCGGATAACATGAGTCAACAGGTCAAGCATATGAACATTTTAGAGATGGTTGAATAGGAGTATGTAATGGAGTGAAGAATTATGGAAATTGCTATGTCAGTTTTAGCTCAGACTGGTGAGCTTGAGTGAAAATTGTAAGAGTTTTTTTTAAAAATAAATCTAGAACTCTTTTTTTGAGTGGGTGAATCTTCAAAAGCTGCTTAAAAAGATGGCAGCTGGTGGGAACTGGAAGTAAGGAGAGCAGAGGAAAGTTTTTAGGGTATCAAGCAAAAAAAAAAATCCAGGCCCAATTTCTATTTTCTAGCCTCTCTAAAACAGAAACATCAGCCTCTACAGTTTTTGTATTTGAGATAAGATGTTGGAGGAGAGGAGGAGACATGGGTCTGTGTGCTTTACAGAAGAAAATCAAAGGACAGATGAGGAATTTGATATCCCCCTATGGTCAGTTTCATCTAAAGTTTTAAAGAGAATTCAAGGTAGGGAGAAAGATCTCAGCAGCTTGGTTGGAACCAAGGAAAACATGAAGAGGCAAGGAGTCCAACAAAGGGAAGGAAGGATGGAATTAACCTGGGTAAATAGGCATCTAAGTGAAAGGGGGAAGGAGCAGGTGGAAGAGCACAGCCTAGAAGAGGCATTAGGCAGCTAGCTCTGGGGAATACAAAAGGTGGTGGAGCAGAAAATCTAGTCAACCCACTTCTTTGTGGCAGGATTGGGCACAGATGATGACACTGGCTGTGAACAGATACTGGATACCAAAACAACTGTGAGTTGTTTGGTTGCAGTTCACCGAGACTGCACACATAGTTGTTATTATGTGATATTGTTACTTCACATATTATTACATATTATTTTACTGTGGGGTATAATGTAAGATATAATCTTCACTAAATAATAGAATATAACATAATCTTTACATTATTTCCAGAGTAGAGATAATTTGTGTCTTTTAACTTTTTGGTATTTTATGCACATACATATTTTTTAATTAATTTTTTGAGACAGGGTCTCACTCTGTCACCCAGACTGGAGTGCAGTGGTGCAATCATAGTTCAGTGCAACCTCAAACACCTGGCCTCAGACGATCTTCCTGTGTCAGCCTCCTGAGTAGCTGGAACTATAGGCTTATGCCACCACACCCAGCTGATTATTTTTATTTGTAGAGGTGGGGAGTCTCACTATGTCACTGGGGCTGGTCTTGAACTCCTGGCCTCAAGTGATCTTCCCACCCCCGCCTCCCAAAGTGCTGGGATTACAGGTTCGAGCCAACATGCCTGGCCTGAATATAAATGGACTAAAAATGCCACATACTCCCAATTTTCTTTGGTATTAAGTAAGGTACTAACTGTATACAGATAGAACTATACACTCACACACACCCATGCACATACACATACACACATACATACCACTTTCTCTGGTATTTTTCCAGCCTGATTCTCAGTTCTGCTTGTGGGCTTATTGGAATCCTCCTCGTAATTGTTGGCTTCCTTTGAGATTAATTTTTGCAAAACCTCTGCTACTTCATCTTCCAGTGTATGTGCTTGGCTCTCTGTGATCTATTAGAAAAAGATACAACATATATAACTGCTGCATTCCAGTCTTGAGAGTAAAAAAAAAAATCTGGACTAAACTGTAGTCGGACATACATTATTTTTTAAAGAGGGATCTTCAGAACCATCTTTCAGACAGCCCTCCCTTATGCCTGCACCACATGCTGGCTGTTATGGGGATTGCCCAGCACTCCTGGAAGAATTATCTTTGGGCCTACCTTGCAAGCTGTTAGTCCTATCTGTTGAAACCCACGGACCACTTATTTTGAGAAACACCCTGAGCATTGCTCCTCCACAGCTTTGGGTCATAGTCAGAGAACCTTTGACACCCCGCAACATTAGCATCTTAATAAAGCCGGCCAGGGCCAGTTCAGGGTGGAGGAGCCAAGCTGAGGTGGATTCAAATTAGATCACGTGGAGTTTCTAAAATACACATCACATGCCTTTGCTCATGTTATTTCTTTTTCTTCACACACATGTCTTTTACCTCCGCTGGTTATATCCTAGTCATCCCTCTAAGCTTCCTTCAAACGCCTCTTTCTCTGAAGCCTTTCCTTACTGCCAGTTGGATATAAGCTATTCTTTGGCTCTTAACGGTTTTTAAGCAGCTGGCATTTTGGGCGTGTGTCTACTTGCCTAGTTCTTCTGATGGATGACAAACTCCTAGAAAAAAAAAATGGTGCCTTACTTGTCCTTAAAACCTGCGGGTCCTAGTAGAAGGAAGACACATTATAAACACTTGGCTACTTGAGTCAAATGGCTCGGCTTCTTGGCATACTCTAAACTGCACTAGGAACTTGTTTTACTTCCATGCACATGACTTACGAGGCCAAGATTTAGTAGTTTAGAAACAATCTTGTCAAACACTGCTCTGTCATTTTCTTCATAAATCCTGGTGGCGATTTTATGGACAATGTCTTCAGCGGTTAAAGGAGTCCCGTCTAGTTGATGAAGGCCATCTGGATCATCTAGACAGAACGACCACAACTTCACAACATAGTGATCATAGATCTATTTCATGCGTCGTATTAAACTTACAATCGGTACTTTGCTTTTGTATACAGATATGTTTGAGATGTATTTATGGTGGTGCTTGGTCCACATAAACCCTTGGTTTGAAATAAAATTGGTCTTCATGTTAAAAACTTAGTATGATAATGGACATTCTGAAACTTTCTCAGGTGACTATAAGGGGAAGGAAAAGCTGAAGGCAACATGAAAGGTCTCTCCATTAATTGTTATCACCAATAATACAACCCATATTATACTTTTTATTTTTTATCTTTAAATTTTTTTTAGAGACAGGGTTTCACCATGTTTGTCAGGCTGGTCTTGAACTCCTGACCTCAGGTGATCTACCCACCTCAGCCTTCCAAAATGCTAGCATTACAAGCATGAGCCACCATGCCTGGCATATTATACTTTTTATTCACATAGTATGTCATATTTATATAGTATGTCATATTATTCAATGTACCCTTCTATATGTGTACGATTTGATATTCCAGTTCCATCGGGGAATAGATTGTTTGGTAATATCCCCACATGTACTACCTTTGCAGGCAAATTCCTGGGGTGGGATGGAGACCTCTACCTCACACCCAGAATCAGAGTGTGTACTGAAGATTTTATGACTCATCTAAAATAAATATTTACTTCTAATTGAACATGTATCAGAGTGTCATTATGTAAAAAGGCAGCTTAACGTGACAAGACCCATTCTTAGAGAACAGGGATCTTATTTTATTTTATGTGCCTGGAATTTAAACTTTTAAAATGTGGCAACCTATCTGCACAAAGCAATATGTAAATCTTTGCAGAGAAGCATGCTAATATGTACCCTTGGCTTTCCTAGGAATACATTTGACAGTACGACTTCAAACTAAAGTAAAGGCCCATCCTGAGGGAAAGGGTTAGTGGCAATGAAGCATTGCAGCGCATCCATGGAGATATTCCAGGAATCAATTAGTCATTTCCAATCTATACCACATTAAGTGGATCAAGTTTACAAGGCACTTAATTCTGTCTGTTTCCTCTGGGAAGATCAGAAAGATCAGAATTTTAGCCCCAGTGATGTTTCTTATTAACTATATATCATTGGATCACTGTAAAGGAGTCTAATAAGGTATCTATCTCATGGGATTGTTGTGAGGATCAGATGTAATCGGATATAAAAGTACCTTTTAGATTGCAAAATACTTAAGGTTTGGTGCAAAAGTAATTGCGGTTTTTGTCATTACTTTTAATGGCAAAAACCATGATTACTTTTGTATCAACCTAATATATGAAAGCTAATGTATTATTGTTATGTGCACAGTGAATTTGTATTTTGAAATAAAGGAACTGCAGTTATCTTCTGGAGAAAATGTAAATTGAATCTCTGGCCAGATTCTGCCCAGACAATCCTCCTCATGTTCACTCAGAGAAAGAAGAACATGATATTTCTATTCTGATTCTGCTGTTTTCTTCCATGAGTTTTGGGGACTCAGACAGGGAATTTCTCCAATGGCCTTTCTTTTAGACTCTGTGAAAATAGAGGTATATGCAGCCTTAGGCAGAATATCTTCTTGTTTTGAAAGAAGCTTAGGAAAATGAGTGGGGGTAGTTATACATGGAGGACTGGAAGTTCTCTGTCAATACAAAATTGCTGAGCTGTTGGCCAGCCCATGAGCCATGATCCCTTTGAGCTGAGTACCAGAGAGACAAAAAAGCAGAAGCCCCTAAGAAAAACAAACAAACATAAAATCACTTGCCCTCCTGGATGGCTGAAGATTTGGTTCATCATCTATTTTTCAGGAGCAGAAACTCACTATTATGTGTCTGATTTTTCCATTTGTGGGTTGCAAGTCAGGCTCTTGAGAATACATAGAGCAGAAACTGCTCCAGTCTATGCAGAGGTGGAAGAATTTATTTCCCTCCCCACTTATCTCTCAGGATCCATAAAAGGAGGAATATTGGTTGCCTGCTAGACCTGGAAAATAACTGAGGTGACTGTTTTTCAGTCCATTTACTTCACAACAGGGAGGATGTTAGTAACCCACTGAAGAGCCTTTCCTCTGCTGCACTGCTGTCCTCTCTTGAGCCAGGAACTTAGGTCTCACCTAGCAGCGCTTTGGTGGATGGAGTAAATAGCAGAACATGTGACCATTGCTCTTCACCTTTCCCTGACTTCCTTCACTCTTCTAAAATGGATACTATTATTCAAAATGGCTTTCTCTTGCTCATGAAGGGGATTTCACCCTCCATGTATAGACTCCCAGAGGGAAGCTGAACATGGTTTTAACACGTAACTTGTGTTAAGTAGCCACAGCATTCTAAGTGAATGTCAAAGGGTCATGTCCCAAGTCATCGTCTGCCCAGTTATGTTCTGAATTGCTAGCATCTAATATGGCACTTGACATTAATTTGTTCAATATATTTTAATTAAAGTCTTACTATGTGCCAGACACTGGGAATAGAGTGATGTAAAGGTTAGGCAAGCTCCCTGACTACACAGGTCTTACTGTCTAGCTCATAGTCCAATACATAGTAATTGCACAATAAATATTAGAATGCACATAGGCGCCTGAAAGCACTGCTTTAGAAGAGAAATTTGGAAAGATCCTGAATCGTGGATACTATAGAAAACACTGAAAAGGAGAATTGCTGGGTCTTATAGCACAAGCCTATTTGGAAGTTTCCTAAAGGCAAGTGTAGGTCTAGGAACACATCCTGCAGAAGTTAGCTTCCTTTACCTTCCCCTCTGGGATGAAGTCTACATGCATCTGAGGTTCTATCCAACTTGGTGGCCAAAAACCCTCTGGTTTCAGGATTTCCAGAGCAGAAGGGGAGACCAGAAGCTTTCTCACAAATCATTTTCTCGAAGAACCTTGGCCCAGCATCTCTGTGATCTCAAGTGGAGTTAATACCTCCTACAGTAAACCTAAAGTCATCAAGACTAGCACTTGGTAGTTCTAAACATACTTGGGATGGTAATAAAATGTTGAACAGATAAAAAATTAGTTGCTCAGGTTAGTGGTGAGATCAGAAACAGATCTGTGTCTCTACCTGCAGGTACAACCACTTTGACCAATTCAGGCAACTCAATATTAGACTTTAATTAAATCAAATGATCACTTCATTTGAAGTAGTTGAATTTGTTTTGCAGGCAGTTATAATCAGGGTCTATTTGTAGTCCCAATATCTTAGGTTAAGAAATAGAATTCAAGATTTTAAAAAGTAAATGTCCCTGAGTAACATGAATTATGATATACATCAAAATATAAACCCATTGCCTCCATCCCACCTCATAGATACACAAGACACTTAGGAACACTCCTAGGTTATTATGTCCTATGACAACTCAATTTAATTGTCAGTTGTTTTATGACAGACATATCAACATAATTCTCTTGTAGCCATGGAACAGAGTAAGGACAGGGAAGAAAACCTGTACTTACTCCTAAGCACTAGTTCTCAAAATGAAAAACACACTCTCCTCCTTAATGCCTAGGTACAACAGTTCATTTATTATTCCCTCATATAGTCTTTCATTTGGTCATTCATTCATAAATTTATTCAGTGAATTCATGGGCTTCCAGGTACTGGGGCTACAATGTCTCTGTTCTTATGAAGTTTACAGTTTAGTTTTGGAGAAAGGCCTTAATCACAGATAATCACACTTACGGAGGTAAAATGACAAACTGCATCAAGTGCCATGAAGGGCAAGAACAAGGTTTTTATAAGATTATATGTGCTAGACGAACCTAGAAATGTAGTCAGGAAGCAATCCATGCAGGACTGTGGAAGCTTCATTAATGACTTTGGTTTTCCTGTTTTGTTTGGTTTTGTTTGTTTGCTTGAGACAGAGTCTGTCTCTGTCACCCAGGTTGGAGTGCAGTGGCATGATCTCGGCTTACTGCAAACTTTGCCTTCTGGATTCAAGTGATTCTCCTGCCTCAGCCTTCCAAGTAGTTGGGACTACAGGCACATGCCTCCACTCCTGGCTAACTTTTGTATTTTTAGTAGAGATGGGGTTTCGCCATGTTGGCTAGGCTGGTCTCAAACTCCTGACTTCAGGCAATCTGTCTTCCTAGGCCTTCCAAAGTGCTGGGATTACAGGTGTGAGCCACTGCACCTGGCCTAGGATTTTGGTTTTTAGTCCAAGAGAATGGGAATCTTATAAGAGGTTTTATGAAAAAGAGTGGCATACTTATATCTATGTGTGGAAATTACCACATTGGCTGCCACATAAAGAATGACTTGAAAAGAGGTGAAGTGATTGTGGGGAGAACTGTAGATTTTGCTATAGTTTACGTGAGACATAACTGGAGTTTGGACAAGGATTGGAGCTTGGACAAGGATAGAGAAATACAATTGAGAGATATATGGGATGTAAAATTAATAAGTTTTGGCAGATTAGAATTTGAGAGGTGAGGGAAAAGATAAACAGTTTGATCCTAGATTTCTATCTTAAAAAAACTGGATGGATAGTAGTGCCTTTCCTAAAGAAACAGTACTCCAAGAGGGCTAGGTTGTGAGGTGGACAAATATTATGAGTTTAATCATGGGCATGCTAAATTTGTGGTGCTTCTCAGATTTACAAGGGAAAATGTCAAATAGGTAAACAGATAAATAGGTCTATAGCTAAGAGAAGTCTGGCCTAGTGATACGGAACATCAAGATACAGATGTAATTGAAGCCAGGTAAAGGTTAGGAATACCTAAGGAGAAAGCATATGGCTAGGAAGAGAACAATGAAAAGGAAGTAGTGGATATTTCACCTTTTTGTGAGGGGTGGGAGGATACTTAATTGCTCTAATTATTTGAAAAGTGTAATACTTTGTTTATACTAATTGTTAAAATAAATTTGAATGTTAAAATGAATTTAATAACAAAATATAAATACTAGATTAAAAAGTTTTCAGAGCATCATTAAAGGGAAAATAAAGTTTGGCACTCTGTGGAGCTGGGGCTTTACATATTACCGGTACATATATGCTTTATCTCAATTTTGGACTTGACTAATAAAGGATTATTAATGTTTAAAAGATATTTTTTGAAATATTGGAGTTTCTCTTAACCCATTACGGGAAGCTCCAAGTTAACAAAAATAGTTGGCAAAAAGTTCTTTTTTTCTGATTTACCTTGAAATTTATGATCCAGTCCACTCTTAGTAGAATCATAATCATCTACCAGTTTTCGATTCTTGGTTGAATCAACATCTTCCACATTCAGCTTATTATCAAGTGGGGAGCTTCTTATAGATTGTCTTTCTTTCTCAATTTTTTCCTTTTCTGTTATTGCCTTCAGCAGGTTCAAGTTATCAGCAAAAGAGTAGTTGTTCTGACCTCGCTTGTTTTCTGAAAGAAAAGCCCCAAGCCCAACACAACTATTTTAGTTCAGATCCTCCTAGCCTACATTGTTTAAATTAACATCAATATGATTTCTTTTTACCTGCAGGAAGTGTTATTTTAATCTTGTCTGCTTCTGCTTCAGCAATCTGTGAAGCAAACAGAAGATAGATCTGGTTTAAAATCATTGCCCTACTACTTACCAAGTATGAGACCCAAATGATTTACTCTCCATGGGATTTAATTTTTTTTGTTTGTAAATTATGGTTAATTCCTATTTCAGAGCATTGTTATAATTAAGGGCAGACTGATAAGTGTTAATTCCTTTCTCCTATAATATTGGTGAAAAATCTCTGGCAAATTGGCTATCTTACAACGGAGGGGATGTGATGATGAACTTACTGGGTTATTATATAGTTACTGAATGTATTCATTATACAGAACTCAATGTAAATAGCTGCTAGGGCATAAAATTTACCAAAACTAGATTTCCCAGCCTAATTTCTGTCAATTAACCATTAAGTTCCTGATGTTTGTAAATTCAAAATGACCAAAATGTCACAGCATAATTACATTCAATAATAACTAAATCAAAATGAAATAGCATTTATAATGTTACTTTTGACCTACCTGTTCATTCAAAGGTCTTTCTGCACTTAATTCTCTATTATGTAGAGATTTGTCTAGAATAAACACACGTGAATATAAATTTAATCATGCATTCAAAGACAAAATATGCCTTTTATTAAATAAAATCTTCATATAAAGGAAAAAAATATTAGGAGAAATAATTTCAGATGATTATGAAACATATATTAACAAAAATTATCAAGATTATACAGTAACAGTAATTATCAGTATTGCCTTATTTATTATATTTGTGTATTTCCTGAGTTGACACAATCACACTCTTTTTTTCTGACCAGTAATTTAACATAGTTATAACACAAGGGTTACCAGCTATTCTCAACTAGAGACAGCATAATTTGGATTGGTATTATTAGCACATTAAAAGCTCTTTCATCATATACTGCATATGTAATGAACAGAATATCTGAGAAAGGTTGTAAGGCAACTAGAAAAAAAAATCCAAGCCACTTTAGGTGAAGAATATTCCCTTTCCTTTTCAAAATAAGATCTTAAAAAAAAAAAAAAAAACCCATGTTATTGCTCTATCATTTTAAAAATTGAAGAAAAAAAGATCTGTCTTCTGTCTCTAAATTCGAACTGATTTCTCAGTCAGTATTCATGTATATAATCTGATCAGAAAATGAGGCACGGTGATTTACAGCTCACCTATTATACCAAACTTTACCTTTTCGTGGCGAGATAAAAGGAGGGTAGGAAGAAGAAAAGTGTTCACATACCTTGGCTGCCTCCAGGTTTAGGGAAAGCTTGAATCGGGAGCACCAACACCAGAATCCAAGTGCCGGTGCCGAGGAACCCCATTCTTCCACGCTCGGCTTGGGTCACAGCCCGGCGCTGGGCTCCCAGAGCTGTAGCTTTTGTTATGAATGAAAAGGAGGAGTAAAAACAGGAAGAGCCAGGAGGGCGGGTGCGGGGCGGGAGAGGGGCCGGGACTGGGCGGCCGCGGGATCTCAGACACTCGGGGGGTCAAGGGATTAGCAGGGCTGGGGCGCGCGGGAGTCACGTCTCCAGGTGGAGGGGAGCGCTGTCCGCTCCGTGGGTGCTGAAGTTCCTGTGACGCGGAGACGGCCGCACCAGGGCGTAGCTTTACTCCCGCTCCCTCCTGGAGAGGAAGTGAGGAAGGAAGCGCATGCTCCATGCACGCCAGAGGCGGGTGGGGATGGCGTCAGAGACTCCAACGCTACTCCAATCCCCCGGGAATGGAACAAAGGAGGGGCGACCGGCCAGCTGGCTGGCGTATTTTCTGTGCTGCAGTCCTAAGGTGTCCCTGGGCTCAGGGTCAGCTGGCTTGCCCTAAGCGTGACAGAATTGTCCTTGCCTCCCAAGTAAACGTTACCTCTAGGGCCAAATGCCTTCTCTGCCTGTGCACCTGTCAAGGAGAGTTAGATAACCTTGTGCGAGGAGTTCTGCTTTGGGATTCTTCTTTTGGGATGTCTGCTCCAGGAGCCCTTCCTTCCATTCACCTCCTATACCCAAAGGTAGATATAATTCTAATCTCTTTAGAAAAACCCTGCCACAGGTCTCTCTGTTGGCGTACCAAGCATCCCTCAGCTCTACTGATTGGGAAATTCAAGAAACATCCTTCCGAATAGATTGTTGCAACACACTCTCATTCTCTGATGCTGAAACAGAACAACAACAAAAATCATTGCCTATTCCCCTAAGTGTGAGTGTCCCCATCAGTCCTGAGCAACAATGCTAAATTCTCTTTTCCCCACCAAGTGGAACCTCCCCAACTTTACACACACACACCACAAAACTAAATTAGAAAGAAGCTGCATTTCTGTAAAACTCTTGCCCAGAATTTAATTATGCCCAAAGACCTGTGTGTTCCAGGGGTCCTTCAAGACGGGATAGTTATGAAAAGCATTTTTCATCTTTACTAGGTCAGGGAGGTGCTTCCTATGTCCTGAGAATATTCCCAGAAGTCTAAGGTTATTGCATACAAGGAACTATCAAAAGACTTTAAATGATGAAAACAAGCAGCATTAATGTGAGCAGGGTGCTGAGTAAGCTCTTTAGTCTCTGATTTTTAAACAGAACTTGGACCTTTTCCTCTGGACTGCAGCATGCTGGGAACCAGTCTGAATAAGGACCAAATGAAGGATTCAGCACAATCAGGCCTTTGATTTCTGCACCCTCCTTTTCAAGGAGCAAGTTATTCAAGTACCTTAAAACAAACAAACAACCAAGCTGACAAACAAATCTCCCTCACTCTGGAGGTTTTTGAGTTTGGAAGCCACTCAAATACTTCCTTTGAGGATCTAAAGAGTACTTCTAAATCTAACAGCTCCTTCAAAACAAAAAACTCTTTCTTGGCAGTGATAACATAGAATTATTATCCCAGTATACTCCATTAAAAAATTAAGTCATATTTTTAAATCCCAGCTGAATGAAAGGTACATTTCCTTAGTTTTCTTTTCTTTAAGATGGAAATGATAGGCTCTGTTTACCTCACACTGTTATTATGAAGATCAAATGGGTACATGTTTTGAACAAGTCTTTTTGATACCAAGAATATTTTGATACAGCCCAAGAAAATAAATCATGAAATGTTTTCAGCTTTTATGAAACATTACCCATGTTATCTGAAATAGCCATTCACTGATTCTGAGACTCAGTCTGTCACTGACCTAATCCCTCAGCTTCGCTTTATCCTTTGTCCGATTCCTGACTCCCTTGTCTCCTCAATATATGTTTGTAGTTGGGAGAGACTCAGGATGGAATGAAGGTCAGGGATGGCTGTTGAGTACATTGCATTGCTTGCCCAAAAGAAAAGGGGTATTTTATATCTTTCTGCCACTTGGATTTAAAATGATTATATTAAATGGACACTAAATCTAGGATCATGTTATGTTTTCTGATCAAATGAGTGGTGGAGCATTGAGTAAACCATAAGGCATGCATTCATTTACACTATTCAGCCTTACAGCTGACCCCACTGGACTTAGTATAGGTCTGTGAATGGAGTAATCCTGAACTGTATTTATTAATTAATTCACTTAACAGGTGTTTATTGAATATCTTAAATGTACCGGTATTGATATAGTTGCTGGGTATACAAAGACAAGTAAGACACTAGTCACTGCTAATCCTGTAGCCTAATAGAGAGAAAAGATTGTGACTGTAACAGCAACTACTTGGTAAACAGGTTTTACATGCAACACACTATTCTTATTTAAGTATAAGTGAATGAGTAAGCATAAGAGTGTGTTATGGGTGCTCTTTGTATGTGCAAAGTTCAGGTAGAGTCCTTCCAAATAGTGGAACGAATGGTTGGGAAAGATTTCAAAGAGAAGACAGCCTTTTTATTAATAATAAAAAGATTAAAATATTTGATTATTATGTGTGAGCACACTATAAACATGGATTAATATGCAAATACATGTTGAAATTACAAGACAAATAACGCTGGCACAAATCAGATCATTATTAAATCGGCAATACACAAAGCACAGTGAGTTTGTCAGTGCTGCTTGTGCATTTGTCGACACACATGGGTCAATTGCTCATTCACTAGTGGAGAATATTATTTTGGGCTGAGTCTCGAAGATAGAGACATTTGTAGGATGTTTTCATTTATTACAGAAAAATGTATTATTGTATTTTTATGGAAAATTTCAAGCACAAAAGTAGAAGAAATATTGAAAAAAGCACGATGAATCCACTACCCAACTTCAGTTATCATTAACTCATGACCATTCTTTTTATTCTATATTTCCATCTACTTCATACCCCCAGTGAATTATTTAACCATTAAAACCCCCAGACTTCATATCATTTCATCCATGTCAGTATATTTATGTAAAAGATAAGAATTATTTTTTCTAATATTACTGCAATGCTTTTAGCATACCTCCTCTTCCACATTATACTAATACCATAGTATCATCAAATATTCAGTCAGATTAAAATTTCCGCTTTTGCCTCATACTGTAAATATTTTTACAGTTGGTTTATTTGGACCAGGATTTGAAAGTCATGCATGGCATTTGGTTGACATGTGAGGGACACATATGAGTAAGAACGGAAAGGCAGATGTTGTAAGGTTTTCTTTGACTTCCTAGGTAAGATCATTGCTTCCTCAGGATAACATACACCCTCCAAATAGGGCATATATTTCATTGTGCTGCTTTGTGTAGATGCTTTCTTTCTCCTTATTTCCAGAATAATAAATACATATTGAAGGAAAAACTTCTGAAAATACAGATAAAGAAAAAGGGGAAATATCTGATAGTGATAACCAATGCTAACTTGAGGGGTATGTCCTGTTGTTGCACATTTTTTTTCTAAGAAAACACTTTATGCATATGTTTATAAAATTGTATCTCTCCCTGTCATTACATACTTACATATCCAGCATTCTTCTGCACTAGACTGTGAATTTTTCAAGGGAAGGATTTTGTTTCACTCATCTTTGATTTCTCGGTCCTTCATACAGTGTCTAGAAATCCATCTGCTTAAATAAATGAAGTGATGGAGGGTTTCCTGTTAAGCTTTGGTCTTCAAATGCTCAGGCTATGGTGGCTATTCCAGATTGGAGGATCATGACACTGTCAGTACGATTCTCCACTCAGCATTTTCTTTACAAGGACGTAGTCCCACATAAGAGATGTTCATGAGAGGGCTAAGAATAGAGAGCCTGAGCTGGCAAGGCCCTCGCAGTTACAGAGTTACAGGAATGGATCTGTTGCTGTGAAAGAGACTGACACAGGATGCCAGCCCTAGAGGTGGCTGCTGATGTAGACAAAATAAATGTGAAATCTAGAAATCCACCATGAGAGGAAAGTTGAAATAACCAAGAATAAGGGAAATGAGCAAATAACAAGATGTAAGGAAAGTGAAGGCATGGAAATGAAAAGAAAAGGGTATATGAATAGGGAAAGTGGACCCATATAACAAGATCATATAGGCCACCTACAGAGTGAAAAGTGCCAGAAATGAATCCAAGTAAGAGGAGAAGGTGGCAAACTTTTCTTGTTCACTTATCTTGCTTGTACCATAGTTGAACCAGATTGGGTCAGTCACCTACCCTGGGGGCCATAGGAGGAAGATGCAAGATACTATGATTGAGGGTTCGCTCCAGAACTACAGGGTAGAACGGCTTCCCAGAAGGAATCAGGATGAAGGTATAAGGCAAACAAAAAACAACAGATGCTCACTACACCGTTGAATACAGTATTTAAAATGAATTAGCATTATTGAATGAAAAGATCAGGTTGCCTGTCAGCAGTGTGGTTCCTATTATAAAAAGTGTGTGTGGCTGGGTGTAGTGGCTCAGGCCTGTAATCCTAACACTTAGGGAGGCTGAGGAAGGAGAATCTCTTGAGCCCAGGAGTTTGAGACTGGCCTGGGCAACATAGGGAGACCCCATCTCTCCCACCCCCACTAAATAAATAAATAAATAAATAAATAAGCTGGACGTGGTGGTGTGTGGTTGTAGTCCCAGCTACTTGGGAGCCTGAGCTGAGGCAATTGCTGGAGCCCTGAGGCTGTAGTGAGCCATGATTGCAACACTGCACTCCAGCCTGCTTGATAGAGCGAGAATCTGCCTCAAAAACAAAAAAAAAAACAAAAAAAAGCCTGTGTGTATTTGTGTGTGTGTGTGTGTGTGTGCATGTGCGTGTACGCACGTGCATTTGTGTCTGTGTGCATGCACATGCCCATACCTAGGAATTTATCTGGAAGTCTATTTCTTATAATATTTACAATGGTTACCTGGTTAGGGTTTTTCTTTGTTCGTTATGTAGTTCTGAGTTCCTTGAATTTTCAACATGAGTATGTATTATGCTGTTTTATAATCAGAAAAGAACAATAAAACAACATAGTCTATGTGAATAATTTTATATACTACTCTTTCATATTCCATTATATTTCAGACAATCATAATAAACTTTTCATTTGGGATGTGAGACTACATTGTGATAAGGTCAGTGGAAGAGAAATTAAAATTTGATGGGAGGGTTTTTTTTTGTCTTCTCTGACACTCTGCTATTACTTGAGTACCATTTTAAACAGTTTTTCTCAGTATACTGTCATTACTCATATGTCCTTTTCATTGTGACCTCCTAGAGGGAAAGGACTTGTCAGTACTCATCTATTTACCTCAGTGCCTAGAATACATAGTTAAGAGATCATAAATGTTTATTGAGTGGAATCTTACCATTTTATGAATCTATGGCAGTTCTCTTACATGAGACTTGGTA